CCGCAGCAATGCTGTGCATGAAGACCATAAAGATGGTCTTCTCAGTGGGTCGGGACACAAAGCAATCCACCGTGTTAGGGCAAGGGGGCCGAGTACATTTGTAAAGGGGTGACATGTGAAATCCATACAAAAGGTACTGACCTATCATAAAGCCCACTTCAACCACTGAGCGGGTCAGGATATGTAGGACATAGGTGCGCAGCAGAGACCCTCTTAAGGGTGCCTTATTCACTTTCTTCTGTTCTTCCAGCTTTCGCAGCTCCCTCTCCACTCTCCGATGTTCTTCAGGCACGGGCTCCAGATCTTCTAGCTGAGCCCGCAGGTGGGCTTTCCTCTTCTGTCGCTCTTTCTCTAGAGCCCTTAATCTGTACAGTGCATGGGCCATGTAAACAAGAGATGGAGAAGATACAAATATGATCTGCAATACCCAGTATCTGATCAAAGAGATAGGGAAGGCCTTGTCATAGCATATGTTGCTGCAGCCAGGTTGCTCCGTGTTGCAGATGAATTCTGACTGCTCATCATCCCAGACATCCTCAGCAGCCACTCCCAGCACTAGCATCCGGAATATGAACAGGATTGTGAGCCAGACTTTGCCAACTATAGTGGAGTGGATGTGCACTTCTTCAAGGATGCTGCCCAACAAGTTCCAGTCACCCATGATCAGAAGTTCATATCTAAAGTATAAAAAATAGTGTTATTTGAACACACTGCTGAATCTCTTTTCAAACTGACCCTTTCTAGTATATACATATTTTAATAATTATATTACATATAAATTCTTTGGATGGAAAGAGACATTTTATAAATTTATCATTATTTTCTATTTAATAGGTCATTAAATGAATGTAGACACTACAACTACTTGTAGAAGATGCAAAGTGAGATTGTTTTAAGAGAGATTGAGTTTGGCTATAAGCCATGGTACCTCTTAACTGCCTACACATCTACTGCATTTTCCACCCACCATGAAAGAAGACACTCTTTTTTTTTCACTTTGCAAATCCACTGCCAACAATAAATTAATTCTACACCTACTAAATTCCTGTCTGTGGCTCTGCTATGGCTTTGGGTGAAAAACAGCTGAAACAACTAATTAAGCCTTCATTCATTTGAGAAAGTTTTGAGAAGTATCCTGTAAATGTGAGAATCTTTTTATTTTGTACCGCAAGGTGGTAGCATTATAAATGTCATCCATTCAGTATTTTCCTGTCTGCTAGTGTAACAGTCCACATTTTTTGCCTTGAAATACAAAACTGCAAATACACAGCTAATTTACACATAACTGTACATTTTATAGTCTCAGTCTAGAATTTTATTCATAAACTTAGAGTGCATCTAGGATTCATATCTTGAGCTTTGTGCATTTAAAGCCTCAATGAATCACTAAAACTCTGTCTTGATGATAAATTTAAACGTTTGAAGTAAATTAAGCAGGAAATGCATAAGAATGCAGTGAAGATTTTTAGTTGTAAGTGTGAGATGATCTTTTTAACCACCTCTTTCCCAGAAGCTCTTTGATTCATCACTGAGCTGTTCTACGTTCAGCTGCAAGATGCTTGATTCCCAAGCCACTTCTCTGGATTATCTTGAGGATCTTCAGGTCATGTAGAAAATTGAAATTTACAAATTGTGTATTTGTGAATGCATTCCACAGTCTGTTGTGTTCCTGGAATGCTTTTGCTAACACAGGAATAAAATATTGAAAGCAACCGGGGTTGTCTCTACCTCAGGGTTCTCACTTAAATTTTATTTGCCATTATTTTATGGCTTCCAAATTCCAAAAAACTCCAGTCTTTTGTAAAGTGCCATTTTGAAGTTTCTTTAAGTTGAATGCATTCTCTGACTACCTTTGTAGCTGTCTGAATAATTATATGTGATCAATTTAAACATTAACAATACAGGCACATAATCAGAATCAGATGGAAATCCACAATCAATGATGGAGGAAGTTTCTTTCTTGCTTTCTTGCTTTCTTTTTTATTTCTTTTTCATATTCTATTAAAGTTTGTTTAATCATTTTCCAATATTCAAATCAGTTATATATTAAATTTGTGCCAGGATCTCTTTAGAGGTGATTTGCAGAGTTAAATCTTCCTTAATAATTAGTAACTATAAATTAAAATAGAACTGGAGTCGATGGTCAAAACAAAATACATCACTGTTTGAAATCATTTTTTGTCTTGCAGCCATTACATTTCTAAAGAGGCAATATACACAGTTAACATCCTGAAAATTGCCAATCTGCTAACACCCACAAACTGGCCCAGTTGATCCATTGGAAGTGAACAGTATCATATAATTAAACTGCAAAAAATAACAGGCTTCATAAATTCCTAGCCTTACTGAATTATACTTGTTTCCAAAAAGATTAAATGTTAAGATGCAAGTACTCTTGTTTTTAATTTGAATTGCTATCAGTCTGACAGGGATCTGCCTGTTCTGCACCTCCCTGGGAAGATTCTTTTTCTGCTTGCTTACCTTAAGAGAACGTCTTAGATTATTTGTTCTTAGAACACTGTAGGAGCATGTAGTGCTGCTGAAGGTTGTAGCTTGGAAAACTTCCTTCACGGTACTTTCTTTTTCAATGCCAAAGAGTAGATGTGGCACTTGGAGCAGACTTCTCCGTTCTTTGTGTCTGGATGCTTGGATCACACAGTCTAAACACTGCGTGCGATTTTAAACCATCAGATTATAGGACGGTGCCTCTAGCCAAAATTATCATGCAATTATTTTAGTCAGTGGCATCTATCAAAGCTATTCCCTTGAGGCTCAATTTATTTGGCAATAGTTTGTAAAGTCCCTATGCATCGTTATGTTGAGTTTTCAAACACTGTCTCCACCCATACCCTAAGTTACATTTTCTTTCGTAAAACAAATAAATGAGCACCTTTTAGAGTCATACACATTCCTGCATTTTCTTTACATTCCATTAGTTTCGCTCTGAATCAATGCCAAAGAATCGATCGGTCATGTCCGATTTCATACTCTGTTGCCTGGTGAGTTAATTTAGTCTGCTGGAGGCAAATGGAATCGCCTAGACTTAAGTTGTTCAGAAACACAGGCCTTCATTGCTAGGAACCTTTCAGCTAGGTTACAGTCACTCTTGAAGACCATTCAGGATTCACACCTGTGAGAGACACAACCTAAAAAAAGATCACAAGTTCCTAAAATAGGATTTCTTGAGACTTCAGAGACACAAGAGATGAAGCTCTGATGCTAAAAACATCCACTGCCTAGTTCTGTACTTTAAGGAAACCCCAAATAATTTTTTCCTTTGACCTTTCCTGTCAGCATCTCTCCTTTGGGTCACTCTGCATTAGCCAGATTCCTTTGCATCCCATCTGAACGAGATGTCTCTGTCCTTCACCCACACTTGTAAGCTAAGAAGTGAGTTAAAATACATACGCTTCAGTCCTGAAAGGTGCTGGACTGTTTTTCACTTCAGTCTCTTCTCCCTAAGGGTTTTCCCACTTGTTCTCAAAACACACCACTCTCATTCTTTTGTGGTTAGCTCAACATACATAGCAATGAATCCTCTCTAGCATAGGCTGCACTGGTCTCTCTGAAAGCTGTGTTTGTGTTCAGAGCCTTTCCCTGCAGCAAACAAGGCGGTGTTTTATTCTGCCTTAGTATAATGCAGAAGGTATACAGTTTATCTGTTTCAAATGCTTTAAGGGAGGTAGCACTACACTCCCTACTTCTGAGAGATGTGTTAATACTCACCCCAAAAAGCCAGACCTCCCAGGGCCTTTCTCATCCATATGCTTCTTCCCTCATGCTCTCTCAGGACAACATTCTCTCATGCCTATCATTGGTACTGTACTTTCACATTGCTTCTTTTCGAACTTGGCTACAAGGCCTCTGAGGTTCAGTCAGAGCAACCGAAGCCTGGTGTCCCTTACCAGAGAGCATTGGTGATGCCTGATGGCAGCACTTCTTTTGCTCTGTTCAGCTGTGATTTACCCATCCTGATGGAGAACATGCTTTGCTGCTCCCAGCTGAAGCAGCTCATTTGCAACTTGGCACATTTTTGTGCCACCACCTTCTCTCTCTCACAGGTGACAGCACCAGGACAGGTAGCATCCATTACTCAGCCCTCAGCACAGCCATGGCATTAAGTGTTGGCCTCTCATAGGGCAGGGAAGGTGACAGCAGGCTGCCTAGGGACAATTTGCCATGTTTCTGCTTTAGCAACGCAGTAATTGGTGTTGTTAAAGGATTGCTCATGCAAGCTTGCTAATGGACTGAGAATTAATTACACATGAAGAGGAAGAAAGGCCAGGGTACATGGAGTGGTGGTGGTAGGACAACATGGGTCTTCGTGTAGTCTTTTGCATTCGGAGGTGAGAAAGAATTTGTGGTGTCTGAGGAAACTCTTGTTACAAGCATGGAATCATAGAAGCACCAAGGTTGGAAAAGACCTTAAAGATCATCCAGTCCAACAACCCACCTCTCACCAATATTTCCCAATAACTCATGTCCTTCAGTACCACAGCTAAATGTTTCCTGAGCACCCATTCAAGAAACACGTATAACAGCATCTGTCATAGGTGAAAGCAGCTTACGGTGTAAATGCTAGCAGGAGGCAGATGATTGTGCCTGCATGTATGCAACTCTCAAGCACAAGCCTACCACTCGCCACTTTTGAGTTGGAAAAGCAGAAGCATGTCTGATTCTGGTGGGACACACAAGGACCAGCAACAAGAAAAAGCAATTGTAGGCCATCATGAAGCCTCCCCTCAGTTTGGTTTTCTCCAAGCTGAGCAAATAAAGGGACTTCAGATGCTCATACATTTTGCTCTCACATCTTTCACCATCTTCACAGCCGTACTTTGGATGCTCTCTGACAGCTTTATGTTCTCATGTTGAGGTGCCCAAAATTGCAAGCAGTGCTTGAGGTGAGGATGCACAGCACAGAGTAGAGTGGGGCAATCCCTTCTCTCACTCAGCTGGCAGTGCTGGGCCTAAAGCACCCCTGACTGTAGTTGGCCTTTTGGCTATTAAAGCCAACTTTGCTCCTGAAACATCTTGACTGACCTCATAAATTCTTCCAAGAAAGCTAAGAATTCCTTAAATCTGCTTCTTGGCATACTTTAGAAATGCAGCCTTACTGCATGCAGATGAATTGGTAAAGACTATCCTCCAACTGGCTTTAGAACAAAGACAATTAGCTGAAAGACAGTAAAAAGCTGTAGAGTGCTGGATTAGCAGCTAAAGCATTGCACTACAGCCTAAAGAAATGAACATTCCTCCAGCCTACTATTCTACATAAACAGCTAGCTGCTAACAGCCTATGTAGGCCTTAGAAATCCCTCAAAATTCAATACCTGATCCCATGCTTTCACTGTGATGTACACCTGTCTCCTCCATAAACCCTCCTGTATGAATTTCTACTCTGGACAATCTTCCAATACCTGTGTCAATTACAATTTTTTAAACCAAATACTGGAAAAATGTGTGTGTTGGATGAAAGCCAATGTCACTGCATTGGCTGCACTAGCAGCAAGTGGAATAAGACTCTCAAAGGGACGCCTGTTACTCTTTCAGGGGGAAAAAAAAAATACATATTAGATACAAAAAGCTGTCTTTTTCCTCAACGAAAAAGGCAATGATTTTGGGAAGCCAAGGATGGCATAGGTTGTAATTCATAAATGGTTT